ATAAATATATATATATATATATATATATATATAATATATATATATATTACACACACACACAGTTCCAAGAGCAGTGGGTGGGCAATAACAAGAAAGCCATTTTCTGCCAAGAGTAAGTCTGGATGACAATATCAGCCAGCACTACAAGTGACTGGCACACCTGTGCACTCAGAAAACAGCTCTGTTCCTGAGACCTTCCTACTTTAACTGATCTGCACTGAGAACGCTCCACCCTTAACAGATCAAATTCTGAGATCAAAAGTTTCAGTCTGCATCTCCTACTCCTATATCTGTGTGTGTGCATGCACACACACATACACACACACCAAAACACACACCCCGGATCCCCGGATCCTCTACGACTCTGCTGTTTAACACCTGCCTTCCTAGTTTCTCTGTCTGGACAACACTCCATCTCAATCCGACTCAGAGCCTGAGTCCCTTCTCTGATTTTCTAACAATCAACAAACTCAGTCTTTCCTAAGCTGATGAATAATGTTTGCAGAACTAAAAATGAAAACCAATACAAACACATTTATAATAGCCATCATCAAGGAGGAGATAACTTAAGCAACTTTATTATGTGTCACAGGATACCTAAAAAACTACTGTATGTATGTATCTGTGACATGAAGAAGCCACCAAAGCACCATTAAACAAAGAAACACAATGTGTGAAGCATATTGCTATGGTCTGAATGTAACATGTACTTAAGCTCATATTTAAAGACTTGGTCCCAACTAGTAGCACTGCTTGAGGAGGTTGCAGAAGCCTTGGGAAGTGGGCTGAGCTGGAGAAAGGAACACATTACTAGCCTCTCTCTGCTCTCTGATTAGCACAATGCAACATTATCAATGCCATGCAACAAGCAACTGCTCCCTCCACTGTAAATACTACCATGCCTTTCTGCCACAATAAACTGTACCCTCTCTATGAACTAAAATAACCTCTTATTTCTGTTAGCTATTCCAGCAGAGATGACAAAAGTTACTTATACAAACAATCATTAAATTCAAAACATACATAAATTTTACTCATTTATATGTAGATACAAATGTGTAACAAAAAAAAAAAAAAAAAAAAAAATTAGGGCTGGGAGGTGATGGCGCACACTATTAATCCCAGTACTCAGGAGGCAGAGATGAGGAGATCTCTGTGAGTTCAAGGCCAGCCTGGTCTAGAGTTCCAGGATAGCCAGCACTACACAGAGAAACTCTCTCTCAAACACACCAAACAAACAAACAAACAAAAAAAGAAAACAAAACAAAACAAAACAAAAATTTAAGAAGAGAAGCATCAAATGACAGTAGTTATAAGAACAGCATTTATAGCAGTAGTCAAACAGAAATTTATTCTTATTTTTAAAAAAGTAAGAAAGGAGGGCTGGAGACATGGTTCTAAGGTTAAGAGCTGACTGTTCTTCCAAAGGAACAGTTTCATTCCCAGCATTCATATGGCAGTTCACAACCATATGTAACAATAGTTTCAGAAGATCAGACAGCCTCTTACAGCCTCCACAGGCACCAGACTTCCATGCAGTATAGACATACATGCATGGAAAACACCATACATACAATTTTAGATATCTATATATTTTATAAAACATATAATATATACACATAATTAATTTATATTAACATATATCAATTATATACAAGGGCTGTAGAGATGGCTCAGCCATTAAAGGCTAGGATCATAAACAAAAATATACATTGTGTATGTGTATATGTGTGTGTATGTGTGTATGTTTAAAGAAAAACTGAAAACAATCCTAAGGGCACCTCCCAATGCCATATAAAAATTTAAGATATGAATCTTGGCAGGGAGAAACATGACTTAGACTTCACCATACCCTACTAGAAGAAACAGATCTGTGCTTTCTCTTGCTGTACCCCACCACACACTGAGAAGAACAATCCATGATAAGCAGAGTAGGGCCCTTAGTAGACACCAGATCCAACGGCATCTCAGTGATGCACTTTCCACTGCTACGAACCGTAAAAATTAAATGCTGGGGCCTGAAGAAATGACTCAATAGTTAAGAGCACTGGGTGCTCTTCCAGGAGATCCACATTTGATTCCAAATTCCCACATGGCAGTTCACAACCATTAGAAATTCCAGTTCTAGGGCTGGAGAGATGGCTCAGAGGTTAAGAGCACTGCTCTTCCAAAGGTCCTGAGTTCAATTCCCAGCAACCACATGGTGGCTCACAACCATCAATAATGAGATCTGGTGCCCTCTTCTGGCGTAAGTGCAGGAAGAACATTGTGTACATAATAAATAAATAAATCTGAAGAAAAAGAGAGAAAGAGAAAGAAATAAATTCCAGTTCTAGAGAGTCTGACAGCTGTTTCTGGCTTCCATGGGCACCAGGCACACACATGATGCACATACAGTCAAAACACCCATACATATAAAATAAATAAACAGATGGATGGATGGATAAAATGATACACACGCATACATACATACAGATAGATAGAATATACACATGCATACATACAGTCAAAACGGCCATACATATTAAAGAAAAAAAGAAATGCTGTTTGAGCCACCCAATCTGAGAATTTTTATAGCAGCACAAACTAAGACACCATCTTTCAGTATTTCTTTTCAAGGCATTATTAGGCAAATATGAAACTCCTAATTTGTTCCAGGATTTTTGGTTTTTCAACTAAGTTTAAATGCCAAAAGGCCAAAAAACAAACCAAAAAACCCTACCTTTATCATCTGCTTATCCCAAGTGTCCAACATAGTATGGAAATTTTACTTGGTCACTATTATTTCAAACATATCAGATTCTTTTTCCATATTCTCTAGAGCACAAGCCATGACAATATGAAATCACCTGAACGAATGTTTAAGAGCCTGGAAATAACTCACCTTATGAATTTGGTAAATGACATCAGGTTGAGTTATACTTAAGATGTCATTGTTGCCTTTCAGGGGCCTCAAGTGATCTTTAAATTCTTGACCTTGAAAATTTTCTTCACTCAGTTTGTACCGCTGGATCATGGTCCCCATTCCACCATCTAGCACCATAATCCTCTTCCGAAGAATGGCTTCAATCTCATCCCGCAGGGTTTTCTTCATCTTTCCTTTAAAGAAAGTAAAAATTGACTTCAAAAAAATCAAAGATATAAAGGAGATGCAGGTAACTGGTATACACTTGCATAGTATGTGTAAGATTTCTAAATCTGATCCCCCAGCACCACAAAGGGATAAAAGGGGAAGAGGTGGAACTTTGAACTCACAATACAGAATAAGCAGAGCTCATAAAAGATGTAACTACAGTATTAGAAAATTGCTGTTATTGTCATTTCTAATACAATAAAACGTTTTACACATCACAAAGCAGTGATGAACCCCCAAATGAAGGTGAAATAGGCTCAGCTAGCTTTATTTCAGAGTTCAGAAAAAGTCAACAATTTTTTATGGGGCCTAAGACCATGCCAGGCTGCACAAGTCCTCAGGACTTTCTTTATTAATTCTATAAAGCTATTACAGTTGAAAACATTGGCAACTCCAATCTGACCTTTAAAAGTGTTAGCTTCAGCTATCACTCATTCATCTACAGCCAGAATCACTATCAGTCACATCATGGGGATTGCCTCACTCACCTCTACTGTCTATGAAATAAAAACTTCCTAATACCCTCAACCTTCACCTCTCTCTCTGCCTGCTCCCAGAAAAGATCCCAATCTTCCTAGTTTCTCGAAACTACTGGAAGGCCACAGACCTTCAGACTGGCATGAACTCAATTCAAGCCTCTTTTCCAGCTTATCATTTCAGTACCTCCAGCATCCGCTGATTCAGCCTCTGCTCTACATCCTTCTCATCCTTTTCATTCTACAAGTGATTAACCTAATCCTGTGCAAATGTCTTCTGTTGTAAGCACCTCAGATTCATCCTGCAGCTGAGCTTGCTGATTTAAATGTAAAGTGTCCCTAAAAGCCTCAGGTACTTGACCCTTGGTCCCAGATGGTCTTGCAGTTTGGGGAGGTTTGGGAGCTGCTGCCTTGCTGGAGTTAGTATGTTTCTGGGAAGGGTATTTGAGAATGTACAGTCACATTCTACTTTGTCTGCTTGCTGCTTGTGGTTGAAATGCAAAATGTGATCTTCCAGCTCCTACAGCCACACCTCCCACTTACTGCCACAGTTCCCTCACCATGATAGACTCATTACTTCTGGAACAGTAAGCCTAAATAAACCCTTCCTTCTGTAAATTTTCTTCATCATACAGTATCTTATCACAGCAACAGTAATAATATACAGTACCAACAGAGTACATGATCAGTGACACCCCAATACTTCCCAAGGCCCCAACCTACTCCTTCCCACCTCTGCCATGCAGATTTCTCTGTGCCACTCTTCAGAAATTACTTTCTACAGTCATCAATGACCTACTTGTTACTGAAGACACCAACCTTAGGCTCACATTTCAAACTATCCACCTGACATCTTCCCCCAGAATACCCAAACACTCAATCTAATTTTCAAAACCAAACTTGCTGTATAGTCTCACTTCCCTATTTCTGTGAAGGACAATGTCCTTCCCAGAAATGTAAACGCCAAGTCTCAATAGCATCTGCCTCCCCTCGTCCCTGAAAATAAGCACCTGCCTATTCAGATCATAAGCTCTAACAGTGTGGTTTCTAAAATACATTCCACTCTACTAAACATACTCACTAATAGTGATTTCCATCTTTAGGCCTTTTTCGGAAAAGTGACTTTCATTAAAAAAAAAAAAAAAAAAATTTCTTTCCTAGAGGGAATATCACGTTCACTTCCTTTCTGAAGCCAATTTACTAGCTAAGTATAGTTGATGAACTTGTTTGGTTTTTAGAGACAAGGCTGTGTGGCTAGGGCTGATCTTGAGCTCACTCATTATGTAGCTACCTCAAGTTCCTGACCTGCTGCCCCTAAAGCATGAGTCCTTGGAAACCCTGTCTTGGGAGGGTGAAGAGGGGAAGGGAAAAAAGTGGTACTTTTCAATGCTGTCTTTACTGTAATCACATTTCAATCAAGAAATCCAGACTTTGTTTTCAGTCTTAAACCATTTCATTACAATTCCATCTCCACACATAAAGATCCTGCGATCTTGTTTGCTGAGTCACCAGATAAGCATGAGACCACAACATCCACATGTTTTTCAAAAACTAAACAAAACATGATTTTTTTTTTATTAACTTGCTAAATTTTTCCTATCATTTATACGGAAAACTTCTCTGACTGAACATAAAGAAATTTAAGTTTCAAAAACCCAACTTGGAGGGATGAGAGAAGAGTCAGAGAGAGAAGGAATGTGTTTGTTTATGGGTACGTGCTGGGAACTGAAACCACTGAAACCAGGGACTTACATATGATAAAATAAACTACCAGGCCAGCACTTATTTTTTGTTTGTTTGTTTGTTTTTTATCTTGTTTTATGAGAAAGGGACTAACTATAGTCCTGGCTGTCCTGGAACTCACTATATAGACCAGCCTGGCCGAAAATTCAGAGATCTGCCTGCCTCTACCTCCCAAGTATTGGGATTAAAGGCATGTGCCACCATGGCCTGTCCTATAATTTTTAGGGTGAGTTTTATTCTATAAAAACTAAAACAAAAGTACAGATAACAGATTGGGAAAAGATTCATCTATGTCAGAAACTAAAAGAGATTAACATCTAGAATTTTCCTACAAAAATTCCCCTGTATAATAATACTATGAAGAAAAGAACAATAGGCAAAAGACAAATATAGCCAAGGGAAAGAAATGCTAGGCCATGGTGAAGCATTTAAAACATGGTGGCAGAAGGATCAGGTTGAGCTCAGCTACACAGCAAGTTCAAGGCCAGCTGTACTATTAAACAAACAACAACAAAAAAAAGTAAAGAGGAAAACTAGTCAAATAGATAAACAAATTTTTAAATTCAGTAGCTATAAAAGAATTAAAACAAGTTGACAGCTATTATTTTCAACAAATATGTATTCAAATTAGTGACTAATGCCAAAGAAAACCTGAACCGTCATGTTTGCTAGCTAAAATTTAACAGCTACAGACATTCTGAAGAGCAGCCTTGCAAGCAATGTAGACAGCAAAAAGCACTCTGAAAAGCACCCTTACAGGGCTCAGTTAAATTGACCATGCAGAAAAACTCCGGAATTTCACTCTTGGATGTATTTTCCAGAAAGAATCACCCTTGTCCACGTGAGAATGCAGAGGATACTAGTAAAAGTGGAAAGTAGAGGCAAACTCAGGAAAATTTCTTCCTATATAAAATGTGTTGGATACTCCCCAGGGAATAATACTACAGGGCAATAAATAGATATACTATGGCAATATAGCTGGTTCTTTTTTTTTTTTTTAAGCTTTATTTATTATTTATACAACATTCTGCCTGCATACCAGATCTTACTGTAGATGGTTGTAAGCTACCATGTGGTTGCTGGGAACTGAACTCAGGACCTCTGGGAGAACAGCGAGTGTTCTTAACCTCTGAGGGATCTCTCCCTATAGCTGGCTCTTAAGAAAGGAACAGTGAATGAAAATAAAAGGCAGAAACAATTAACTACCACATTTATGTAAATTTCCATTGACTATATACCATAAATAACTAAACCACCACACCCACAAATGCTGAGATCTACAAGGAAATATATAAATACATGACAGGGTCTACCAAGCAAGAGAATCATGATTAGCAAAATCAAATAGATAAAGAGAGTACACATAATAAATGAGTGAGAGCTGAAAACAAAACTCTGCAACTTAGGTCCTTAAAAGTCTATTGCTGGAGCTGGAAAGACGGCTCAGATATTAAGAGCACTGGCTGCTCTTCCAAAGGTCCTGAGTTCAATTCCCAGCAACCACATGGTGGCTCATAACCATCTATAAGATCTGATGCCACCTTCTTGCCTGCAGGCACAATTGCAGGCAGAATACTATATAAATAATAAATAATTATTTAAGAAAGAAAAAGTGTATCGCTAGCAGGGCATGGTGGTACATTCCTATAATCCCAACACTGTCAGAAGCAGGAGGAACAGGACTCTAAGGCTATTCTTGGCTATATAGGGAGTTCAGAGGCCAGCCTTGGCAAAATAAGACACTTTCTCTCTCTCTTTTTTAAAAATATTTGTTTATTTAATTTATATATATTGGTACTCTACCTGCTTATATGTATGTGTGTGAGGTTGCCAGATGCCCTGGAACTGGACCTACAGACAGTTGAAAGCTGCCATGTGTACACTGGGAATAGAACCTGGATCCTTTGGAAGAGCAGCCAACCTCTGAACCATCTCCCCATCCCAAGACCCTTTCTCAAAACAACCAAAAAAATCTAATCTTACATCATCCATATGTTTATTATCCTTAAAGAATAATGTACAATTTATCATAAGAAGTCATTGCTTTTTTTTCTAGTAAGTTACGTTTTACTAGGCCTAATTACCATTAGAGAGTCCAGTATTCCTAATTACCACCAGAACTTCTCTTAAATGTCCATCCCTTGGAGCCAATGAGAAGGCAAAAGCACTTACTGTGTAAACCTGATGACCTGAGTTCAATCTCCAGATCTCCACGGTGGGAGGAAAGAACAGATCTCCTGAGACTGTGACCAACATGTGCAATTCAGCATACCTGAACAACCGCACCACCACCCCTCACATACAAAGAAATAAGTAAGTGTAAAATTTAAATCCTCTTGATGATTATCCTTTCCCTTAGCACAGTGTGAGCATTCACTGAAACGTTACTCTTCTGTGCGGAACCAACCCTCTACCCAAAAACCAGTATCTGTGTTCAGTTCACTAGGTCTAGAATATCTGTATATTTTACAACTGACTAAAGCTGATGCTATACTTGATTTCAGCCAAAAAGTGGAGAAGTGATGACTATTCTGATTCTAAATAAAAGATTCTTTGACGTATGTATCTTTTAGGGTGAATAAAAGAATGCATGGTTTTGTAATAATCTCCAGTAGACTAGCAGAAATGGTTTCCTGTGGAATATCTATATGCATGTAAAGAGGTGCAATGTAGAAGAGTCCCAGGAACTTCCCTAGGGAATAAGCCCAAGGAGGCCACACTGTACTTCCCACAGTTTAAGTGGATCCTACTGTATTTACTGGGTGTGTTTGTTTTTCTTTTCCTGACTTGAACTGTTTTTTAACCAGTGCTCTTTGCATTCACAGCAAATATACCAAAGGATGAATAAAGGTAGGACTAACTGGTCACAGCGCCATCAGACGTTGAAGGGTAAGTGAGGTGGCACCTGAGAACTGTGTCAGACTGGGAATACAGCTCAGGGTAAACCACTTGCCTAGCACATACAAAGCCTTACAGCAGATCCCCAGCGTACCAGCACTGCAAACAAACAAATGAGAAGCAAGCAACTTAAAAAATAAGACAAAGATATAAGAATGGTAGTTTCTAATGTGTGAGCGTAAGTGACAAGCTACAGTGTCAGAAACACAGCCCCTTTGGAGAATGGCCCTAATGAGGGTTTGCAGTAGGACTTCCCATTTGCACAGGACTAAATGGAGTAAAATAAAAACATAATGCTCTTTTCTGCACTATAAGCAAACTACCTCAATGCTTTCTCAGCAGTTTTTCACTTTAGCTATTTTAATAATCTGCCACACTTGCAAGATACTTCTCTCATTTGGGGCCTCTAATCTCTACTTTGAACTGACTTGCTACATTTTATAGGCATCTATTTATGTATTATCTCATTTTTGAAATATATACTTCCTCCCACTAATTTTTAAAAGCCAGAAGAGAATTGAGCTGCTATCAATTCACTGGCTCATTTTTTTTTTCATTCTTCCACTAATCATTCATTAGCTACGCTCCTAAAAACATGCAAGGAAGAAACCAACAAAACACTAGAAGTTATAGTTGAAATTTTCTCACACAAAGGTTTTGCTGGCCCTCAAGTCTCCTTCCCCGTAGGGACACAATCAGGGTCTGAGGTTACAGTCTCCCTGCCCACCTGCTAGAAGGATTCACTCCTGGGATCCACACCCAAGCATTCTATGACCAAGCTATCTCTACATCCAGGGCGCAATCTTGAAGTTCAAGAACCTTAGTTCTTCCTTAAGAACAGTTAAGACTTGACAGTATGATAGGAAATAACGCAGAGGGGAACAACAACAACAATGAAGAGGCAGGCCAATCGCTCTGAGTTGGGAGGCCAGCCTGGTCTACTAAGCAAGTCCAGGACAGCCAAGACTACACAGAGAAACCCTGTCTCGAAGGAAAAAAAAATCAGTTGTAATCCCAATACACAGGTGAGAGAAGAAGAAATGTTTCTAAACCACAGTTAAGGAGGTAAGGGCCCTAGAACTTGGTGCTCAACCATGGAGGAAAGTGGAGAAGGGGGCAGGGCCAGGGGGAAATAAATATTCAACCATTTTCTTTCATTGCCTGCAAAGAGTTCACTCACTACTCAGCCTACTCTAAATTTTCAGAGGCTTTCTGCTGACAGCAGTAACTATAGTCAAAAGAAGTAATCACTCTTTTTCTGAAGCCCGACAGATGTTATTCAACTAACTATGCTATACCACTGTGAAAAAGAGCAATCTTATTTTACTGCACCAGCGATGTGCTGTTAGGAACTGTCCCACTAGTTTCAAGAACAGTTTTACCCGCCCTATCTGTCAGATACTCGCCGTCTTCCTACGGCTACACAATGCTATACCACAGTCACTGTTCTGTCTTAAAAACAAAAAGGATCTCATGTAACTACCCAGGCTGGATTCGAAATCATTATGTAGAAGAGAATAGCATTAAGCTTAAGAGCCTTCCTTCTACTTCCGTGCCTAGTTTTATGCAGAGCCAGGGCTTAATTTTAAACCAGGGCCTCTGATTCTCTTTTTGGTATTTGGTTTTTCGAGGCAGGGTATCCCCGTGTAGCCTTGGCTGTCATGACCAGGCTGGCCTCGAACTCAGATCCGAGTGCTTCTGCCTCCCCACGTGCTGGGATTAAAGGCGTGCGCCACCACGCCCAGACACCTCCCTCGTCTTACAGGAAATCTCTGCCCCAATTTTTAAGACACTCAAAAATGAAATTACACTCCCTTTGTGTCTTTTTCTCACTGTGGAAGCCCGTTCCACCAACATCAGAATCACTCGCGGGTACTACTGCACCGTCCATCCTCATCCCTAAGTACTGGGAAGTCCGGTCAGCCCACGGTCACGCTAATGCTAGAGTTTGCAGAAGAGCGAAAAAGGGAAACTGAAAAACCATGTGGTTCAACTATCCAGGCTGCCTTGGGGCGGCCTCCCGGCATCTGAACTCGTCTCCTGCAGACAGCGTTCCGTAAATATTTACTGAACACGAGCTTTACATCACGCAGAACTTCCCGGGGGACCCGCTGCAAGTTGCAGCGCTAAAGGCGACGCTCGAAGCCCCGGGACCGAGCGCGTGCGGGTGAGACCTAGCAGAGACCGCGGCGCCCCGGTCACAACAGAAGCACCCGAGGACCTGAGGCACCGACTGAACAGCTGGAGCGGGGCGGAGGCGTTACCGGGCTGCAACAGCGCTGGCGACACGCCGCCGAGCGTCCTCCTCCAGCCGGGAAGGCGTGATCGCCAGAGAATTCCACCGCGGGCGGCGCCAGCCAGCGCGGACCGGCCTGAGGACCTGACTGACAAGCTCCCTGACGCTCCAGAGCCGACGCGCGAGGCCTCCGGGTGCCGCGCCGCGGGCACGAGCTTCTCCCCGAACTCCCGAGCGCAGAGTTCGCCGCCACAGTGCAAGGCCGCGGCCAAAGGATAAAGGGAAAGAGGACGTGGACACGGCCACCCGGGACCACGGGGCTCAACCCCTGCTCCGTTAGCTCGCGGCTCAATCTAGCCTCCCGCGGGAGGGCCCGCCCCCTCCCCGGCTTGTGATTGGTCCTCATCAGCTCCTCGCCGCTGTGTATAGGCTGTTGGTTGCAACCAATCGCCCCGGGCTTTGTTCCGTGGCCTTATGGGAGATGCAGTCCTGGGTACTCCGTCCTTATGGAAACCAGAGCGTCTCTTCTATGGGTTCCGGAAATGCATCGCAAAGGTCTTCTCCAAGTTCTAGTCTAGGAATCCATACTATAGCATCGGTAGGCGACAGTGGTGTAGTATCAAGGGCCAGGAACCCAAAGTCAGAGAATTAATTGTAGCCTAGTTTTGCTGACACTAAATATCTAGTCTCCCTCATCCATAGAAAAGAAATACTAGGATGGAAGTGACTATTAGTTTATAGAATTGCGGTAGGAATTAAAATAAAAAACTGTGTGTGCACTGTGGAAATTCTGGGTTAGTGTAGATGCTAATAGTCACATTGCTAGTAAATATTTATTGAGTACCTATATGTAATGTAAAACGTTGATATGCACACTTGGATAGTACAAGTGGGTCAGTAAGGAGAACCCTTCGCTTAAATAATTAAACGTGAGAAAAGAAATGTCTCAAAGGACTTGTGGCAGTCTAAAGCATATAAGCACCTGGGTATTTTCTGTGAGGCACAAAAACAGGAAGATTTCTGGGTTTGGCTAGCTGCCAGCCTGAATGAAAAACTGGCGAGCTACAGGTTCAGAAAAAGATCTTGTTCTCAAGGGAATACGGTGGATAGTGATAAAGGAGCATACCAGAAGTTCTCCTTTGGGCTCTGCAAACCAGGGGCTCATACATCTTAGCACACGGATGTATGCATACAACCCACACACAAAATAGCTGGATCTTAGAGGAAGGTACAGTTTGGCTTTGAATTAGCCTCCTGTGCCTCACCAAGACCACAGCATTTTTTTTTTTTCAGATTTAAAGACAAAGGCTAGTTCAGTAAGGTTGGTCATGCAAATGAGTCTAGAAAAATAAAAAGATACACGGAGCCAAAAGTAATGGTTCAGGGGTAGTGATACAGGCTCATAATCCCACCTCATAAGAGGTGGGATTACACAACCCTCTGTTATTCTGGTTCCAAAGGATACAATGCCACCTTCTTTCCTACTTGGTACCTGCATGGTATACATACATGCATGCAGGCACATACTCATACATATAGAACAAAAATAAATAAATCTTTAAAATTTTTTAAAGGCTTGTTATGCACACAATTTTCTGCACACCTGCACGCCACAAGAGGGCACCAGATCTTGTAATAGATGGTTGTGAGCCACCATGTGGTTACTGGGAATTGAACTCAGGACCTCTGGAGGAGCAGCCAGAGCTCTTAACCTCTGAGCCATCTGTCCGGCCCCTAAAGTTTATAATAATATATGTAGCATCCTTGTGTATGAGATGTAAATGAAATGTACTGTCTTTTCTCTTTTTATTTCATGGGAGGCCAAAAGAGGGAGTTAGCTCTGCTGGAACTGGAGGTGGTCAGGAGCTGCCAGAAGTGAGTGGAGGCACCAAACCCAGGTCCTCTGTAAGATCAGCAAGTGTTCTTAACCACTAAGTCATCTTTCTAGCCTTTGTACTATCTTTTCTATCAAAGGAGGTTAAGTAAGACAAGTAACCCCATTTTTTGTTTTTTGAGACAGTTTCATGGTCCAACTGTGCCTGACATGGAACTTCCTACATAGACTGGCATCTGCTCCACAGATTCCGTCCTCAGTGCTGGAATCGAAAGCATGTGTCACCACATCCAGCTGACAAACTGTATTTTTAAAAATTGTAAAGAGGCTACCTGGCAGAAAATCAGATTTGTCCACAGTCAGTACTTGAAATCAAAACATGTGCCCAAGGTTACACTCCGTGCTCAAAATTACATTCTTCTTATCAATTGAGTAGCTTTAAGATAACCAGGCTCATCAGAATGTAAAGCCAACTTATGGTAGGAACAAAAGCCCAGTGGGATGCTCACTAACCAGGTGTACTTGCTTGCTTAAATGCAGTTACACACCCAGAAATAAAGCATTTTTGCCTTGTTGGAATACTTTGGAATGTGTGATAATTTTCTTGAGACCCCAGACCTGTTTTTTGCACCTTCCCCAAAATGGCCATATGTGGGAGGGAGGATTTGGAGTAGGCAGGAAAGGACAGGAGAGAGAGATGACCTGAAATAATGGAAGATTTTGCTAAGAGTATGAAGACTAATTTTCCAGTTATCACCTATCATTAAAACTTTGTTGATAAGCTAATAAAACAAAGAAAGGTCCCAAATCGAGATGCTTTATGAGTGAAAAATGAGAACATGACTTCTCCAAGGTAAGGATGAGGGGGTTTATTGTAAATATGAAGGAGAGTGCAGCCGAAGGCATCTCAAAGAATGCATACTGAACTGGGTCAAAAGAGGAAAGAGAGAGGAGGAGAGGAAGAGCGGAAGAGAAGAGAGAGGGGCAAGAGAGGGGACCAGGAGCCCAGAGTGGAGGCCCAAAACACATGTCCAAAATGGCAGGTTCATAGAGAAGCAATGAGAAGCAGAAGAAAGGGGAGCCCTTAAGCTGGAGAGGTTAGGTGGGGGCATGGTAAGAAGTGATGCAAGAAGCCGCAGGTACTGAGCGAGCCTTGTTCCGGGTATCTCTGAAATCTGGCACTCTGCAAAAACACTGGTAGAAATATCAGAGAGGGAGGTTACAGCAAAGTGGAGAAACCTCAGCTATGGGCCTCAGAGGCTGTCTGAGGGGGTTAGACCTTGGAAACCAGTGTCTTGTTGATACAGTCCAAAGGTTTTTACCTTTTAATCGCAGGGTGTTAGGTCTGACACAGAGGCTGGCATGAATGGCTATTTAGAAGACTAAAATAAATAAGATAAATTTAAGTAGGTTGCAGACCTGCAATATTTCATGCTCTAATTCATCACCCAAATTCTAATGAGTTAATCAGCCTGCAGAAGGCTTGGTTTGAAGGTGCAGCTCCCAGGAGCTGCTGTTCACCGGACTTAATCAGCTTAAATGTCAAACAAAGAGATAATTTGATAGCTGTTAATTCCTCTCACCTTTCGAAATGAGATTTAAGAAGAAAAAGAGAACCATGATGGCCATCTTATATTAGAGTGAGATGCTGCTTAAAAACCATAGTATAAATAACTAAAAAAAATCCATTTCTGGTACTGATTTTAGTTCTTTTGCAACTTTAGTTCTCTTTCGTCGCCCTGTTTGATCTGTCCTTAGTTTCTTTCCAATGGTGCCTGTCTTAGAGTTTCTATTGCCATGACCAAAAAGCAAGTTGGGGGAAAAAGAGTTTATCCAGCTTACATTTTCACAGCACAGTTCATCATTGGAAATCAGGTCAGTAATTCAAACAGGGCAGGCTCCCTGAGGAAGGCGCTGATGCAGAGTCCATGGAGGGGTGCCTATTGCTGTTGGGTTAAGAGTGGAAGCCGAAAAAATTCACTTCAGAGACAGAGGCTTAAAATGCAAGCTTTATTTTCTACTTGTGCAGGAAGGCATCCGGTTCAGAATCTGAACTGCATCCCCAAAGGGAGATTGTACAACGGTTTTAAAGGATGCAAACAGGAGTGGAGTGGGCTGTTGAGTTGACCAATCATATTTTGACACAAGGGGTTGAGCAAGGAAGTAAATGTGGGTGACTTTCCAGGTCACCTGATTTCAGGATCCTCAACTCAGTTATTTGCAGTCATGTCTGCTCCTGAACTCTGAACCAGAATTTAGGATGATAAAGGAACAGAGGAGTGAGCAAGCTTTAAATCAAGACAGGCAACACATTTACAACCTGCGTGTCTTAGCTTAGATAACAGATAATGGCACCTTCTCTCTTTACATCCTTTACTGATTAACAGACAAAAATGAAACATCTGAAGAAACAGGATAGGCATTGGGTTCCAGGGCCTGGAAATATGAACTCAGTTTTGACTGCCAGCAAGATGGAACTTGTTCCTGACATGGTTAGATCCAGAAAATTGTCTCTTAACACTACAACCTGGGACCACCAGCCCAGGGATGGTACCGCCCACAATGGGCTGGGCTCTCCTCCATAAATCACTGAAGAAAACACCCTACAGATGGATTTTACAGAGGCATTTTCTCCAACTGGGCCAGCATAGAGCTTATGGCCTGCTGCTGGGTCAATGCTCTATCCTCTTAACCTCTAAACCTCATTCTTAGTCTTCTCTATCCTCATTTCAATTCTTTTTTATGAAGTTCTGCCCATAATACCATTTCCTGGCTCATGCTGAGTATTCACAGGGACATTCTGCCTCCTGTGTAACTACTATTTGCAGAGTGAACCATCCTCTTCTGGTCTTGTCTTGCAATGGGCCATACAACGCACTCCCTATTCATCTGCCAACATGGCTTCCCTTCCAGGAAGTTCCTAGCCATACAAAAGAAGTTACTTATGTGCCTCATCCTTGACCTCCCAAGCTTTTCTTCTGCCCTTTTGTTTTCTCAGTAAAGAAGCCTAAACTGCTGTGGTGTGAACTTGTTTTGAAACAGGGATTCACATAGACCCAGACAGCCTGACTCCCTAAGAATGACCTTGACTTTCTGATCCTCCTGACTCTACCTCACAAGTGCTGACTGTACAGGTATGTGCCATCATCCCTGGCCACAACCAAGCATTTTGTACTGCCCAACAGACAACACAAAGATCGGTCCTGGCCACTCTTGCTGTCCAACTTCCTATTAACCTTTCCAGTGAGGGCTTTTCTAATTTCTAGGGATTTTGATTACTAAATGGCCGTTCCTTTATGCCACAGAGATCTCGGGTGAGGGTTCAGAATTTCTGTGACGTTTATAAAAACACAGATGTCCAAGTCATTGCCCAGACCTTCATGCTGTGGAAACTAGAAGAAAGAACTGGATGTATACAGGATTAACACATGTATATCTCCTGAGAATTCAGGACTGACCTGCTGTTTAAACATTCCTCCTGAGTCATGCACTACGCA